TGATGGGAGTAATCAGCAGAAAAGTGTTAAGGCAAAACCTGACTGGATGATTGAAACCACAGCAAACGTCAGCAGGAAGATCATCTGGGGAGTGTACACCACATCTCGTGCCACTGTGATTGCACTGCACTGGTCTCGAGGGCTGTTGACGCATTCCTGGCCATCGGGGGGCAAGTGTGTAAGTTGCTGGAAGGTCTGGGCCCCCCTGTTTGCCATCTCACTCCTCCTCTGCACTGCCACTAACCACCTCATTTGCATGGGAGGAACCCAAAGGCAAACTCGCATCCCACCAGGGCTTTGCTCTCTGCTTCCTCAGCAACACGTCTCCATGGCTGTAATGCACACGCAATTTACATTTATATTCATACACTGTGTTCCGGGGTGAGGAGACCTGCAAACCTACCCCAAAGGTCAAGGGAGCTGAGAGGCCAAAGAAAGGGGCTGACAAATCCAGTTTCTCAGGAAAAAACATTTATTAGGGACTTACCAACAGAAGCCATAGTCTCAGGGTGGTCATCAGAGGATATAAAGTTCACTGTGCCATAACCCCCAACCCAGGGCTTCTATACCATAGGGAAGGAATATTTAGGACAATTGAAGTCAACCCCTCAAGCAAAGGCAAGAATGTTATATGAATCTGCATAAGGGCAGGATTTATGATCTAGGTTGTTCTGATCTAAGGGCAGAATTTATGGTAACAGTAAAGTAGAAATCTTAGAGGCCTTCCTGGAAGAGGCATTAATCAGAAGTTATCTTGGCAGATTAGCATCCAAGACAGAGTTGCTTTCACCTCCACTGTGTTTCTGTATCTTACCATTGAAAGCAAAAGATGGTGGCTCAGGCCTGTAATCCCAGCACTTTGGGAGGCATGAGGCAGGAGTATTGCTTGAGCCCAGGAGTTTGAAAGCAGCCTGGGCAACAAAGGGAGATCTGTCTCAATAAAGAAAAGAAAAGGAAAGAAACAAAGAAAGAAGGAAAGAAAGACAGAAAAAAAGAAAGATAGATTTACTTGCGTGCATGATCTTCAGGCAAAAATAAATACATAAACATAAATAATATTTTTAAAATTTAACCAGGTCCCATCTCTCTAAATAATAATAAGAATGAAAGAAGGGATTCTGCTGCATTCTGTGGTACAGTTCTTTGCAATTATAATGAATTCCTCACCTGTCAGCCCCTTTCTTTCGTTTGACGTGACTTCATGTTTTAAATGGTAAAAGCGTCTAATCTTAGATCTAGAGCTCTCATTTTTGAGATGAGGAAACTGAAACTTGTGAACTGACTCACCAGTTAGGTGGTGACGCATTGGTGACAGCTTGTTTCTAATGAGCTTCAGGAAAGGTTATTTCTCCCTGAAAGTCAACAAGGTTTTAAGGGAAAAAACGTTGAAGATCATTTCTGAAGTCATCAGGACTAACACAAAACTTACATCTTCTGTAACTGCCCAAAGGTTTCTCCTTGCCCTCTGCCTAGACAGAGCCCATTTATTAAGACAGGGAAATTGTGATCCGCCCACCTCAGCCTCCCAAAGTGCTGGGATTACAGGCGTGAGCCACCTTGCCCTGGCATAATAGAGAACGTTTAATTCACACACAGCTGGCAGTGTGGGAGACGGGAGTTTTACTATTACTCAAATTAGTCTCCCTGAAAACTCAGAGATTGGAGTTTTGAAGAATAATTTGGTGGGTAGGGAGGTCGGGAAATTGGGAGTACTGATTGGTTGGATTGGAGATGAAATCACAGAGTCAAAGCTGTCCCTTTGCCCTGAGTCAGTTCCTAGGTGGGGGCCACAAGACCAGATGAGCCAGTTTATCAATCCGGGCGGTGTCAGTTGGCCCAATGAGTGCAGAGTATGGAAAATATCTTAAGCACTGGTCTTAGGTTTTTACAATAGTGATGTTTTATCCTCAGGAGCAATTTGGGCATGGACAGAATCTTGCAGTCTCCAGCTGCGTGACTCCTAAACCATAATTTCTAATCTTGTGACCAATTTGTTAGTCCTGTAAAGCAGTCTCGTGCCCAGGCAGGAAGGGGGCTTGTTTTGGAAAAAGGCTGTTATCACCTTTGTTTCAAAATTAAACTATAAACTAAGTTCCTCCAAAGTCAGTTCAGCCTATACCTAGGGATGAACAAAGACAGTGGAGGTTAGGCACAAGATGGCGTCAAAGAGGTCAGATCTCTTTCATTGTAATAATTTTCTGTTATGACTTTGGTAAAGGCAGTTTCACTTCTGTTTTGTTTCTTGTTTATTTATTTATATATTTATTTATTTTTCTTGAGACAGGGTCTGTTTCTGTTGCCCAGGCTGGAGTGCTGTAGTGCAGTCACAGCTCACTGCAGCCTCAAACTCCTAGGCTCAAGCGATGCTCCCACATCATCCTCCCGAGCAGCTGGAACTACAGGCATGCACTACTGCCTGGCTAATTTTTGTTTGTTTTGGTAGAGACAGGGTTTCACCATGTAGCTCAGGCTGGTATTTAACTCATGGGCTGAAATGACCCTCTCA